TGATTGCCCTCTATAAATACATCAGAGGGATAAATACCTGGGAGGGAGAGGAGTTATTTAAGTTAAGCACCAATGTTGACACAAGAATAAATGGCTATAAACTGGCCATCAACAAGTTTAGGCTTGAAATTAGGTGAAGGTTTCTAACTACCAGAGGAGTGAAGTTCTAGCCTTCCAAGGGGAGTACTGAAGGCAAAAAAACCCTAACTGGCTTCAAGACTGAGCTTGATAAGTTGATGGAGGGGATGGTCTGATGTGACTGCCTATAATGGCATATAGCTGATCTGCGACTGCTAGTAGCAAATATCTCCAGTGGCCGGTGATGGGACACTAGATGGGGAGGGCTCTGAGTTACTACAGAGAATTCTTTCCCAGGTGTCTGGCTGTTTGGGACTTGCCGAAATGCTCAGGGTCCAACTGATGGCCATATTTGGGGTTGGAAGGAATTTTCCCCTGGGTCAGGTTGGCAGAGACCTTGGGTTTTTTTCACCTTTCTTTGCAGCATGGGTCACTTGCATCTTTAAACTACATAGTGTAAACAGTGGATTATCTGTAGCTTGAAGTCTTTAAACCGTAACTCAGCCAGAGGCCATGGGTCTATTACAGGAGTGGGTGGTTGAGGTTCTGTGGCCTGCAAAGTGCAGGTCAGACTAGATGATCAGGATGGTGCCTTCTGGCCTTAAATTCTGAGAGACTCCAGGGTTTTATTCCTGGCTCTGCCACTGTCTCGCGGTTGGGCTCTGCGTGAGTCACTTCTCTGTGCGTGTCGGTTTTCCTATCTGTAAAATGGGAATAACACTGAACCCTCGCTCCCCCTTTATTAAAGTTTTGAGCTCCAGTGAAGTAACGAGGCTCTGAAACATGGCAGAGTGTTAGTAAATGGCACAGATCTCATGCCCCTATGAGCTGATGCTGCTCAGTCCTTGCTGCTCCCTAAACCCTGCAAGGGGGTGAAATGTTCCCCAGGTCCCATGTTAGGCACTCTCAGAGCCTTCCACTAGTTTCCCCTCCATTCTGAACCCCTATTTTTAAGCATTTACACATTTTTTGGAAACAGAAGCAACTCTTTGGTCCCAGCTATGAGTGGTCAATAAAGCTCCAGTCGCCCTGTTTGCATGGCCAGGGCACCAGCGTGAGTAACCGAGTCAAGTCCCAGTTCTGTGGTTTCATTCAGTTCCCGCTGCATTCTCAGGTGAAGACAGGATTCGTTATTTCCTGTCCTACCAAGCAGTTGCTGTGTCCCAGGCCAGTGTTTTGGTGAAGTGATCCTTTATATCCAATCCTCACTTCGAAAGGGATTGTGAGACAGAATGAATGAACGGTGAGGAAGAAGAGTGCATAGAAATCCTTGGGGGCAGGAGGTTCAAAGGCCCTCTGCACTGGGAAATTGAGGCTTTGACATTGTTTTCATTTCAATGAGAATTAGATGCCTAAGTGCTTAGGTCACTTTTGGAAAGGGGACTTAGGCTCCTGAATCACTGAGACACTTTTGAAAATGTTCCCTTTAATCTCTCTCTGCCTCTATTCCACATCTGTAAAATGGGAATAATGATACTTCTTGTCTGTCTATTTTGATTGAGTTCTTTGGGACCAGGACTGTTTTTTACTATGTGTTTGTATAGCACAATGGGGCTCCAGTCTTAATTGGGGCCTCTAGGCACAACCACAATACAAATAATAATAATAAATAGCAATTAATAAGTACCTGGATAGATAGTGGAAGAGCCTTTATAGCTGCTCCCTGCAGCTTGAATACTAATGTAGTAATCATGAAAAGATCTTGCATGTTTAAAATTAAACAAGCCTAGTTTTTAAGGATTAAACATTCAGTGCTGCATTTTCAAACCAGTTAAGTGCAATGGCACGTGCAGTTGCCAGGAGAGCATGTGCCGAATGGGTAACTGCACGTGCAGATGGCTAATTAGAGACCCCGGCACGTGCAGGTATCCCATTCACCTGTCTGGCTGCAGTAGCTACGCATGCAGTTGGGCACCTGACTGGTTTGACGATGTGGCCCTGAGGTTCCCCTTCTCAGGTTAAACCTGCTTAGAAACTGTTTTCCCACCTTGATCTACCCAGTTTCCACGCCTGCTGCTAGGGTCACAAATGGCATCAGCCAGCTTGTCTTGTCTTCATGAGACCTGGTGTAGTCCCAGGAAAACCTGGGAGCCCTTTACATATCCTACAGGATAGAGTGCCCCAGGACCTTCCCTCACTATTCTGCTGGCTTGGGCAGGACATAGAGACTGGGTGCATGACCTAGGTGCTCCCTCCTGCCATCCCCTGAGGATATTACTGAGCATGCTGCCTCCACAGCTACAGCCACACCCTTTTGCCTTTGTGGAGTGGCTGAGACCCTGTGCTGGAGGGAGAGAGGAAGCAGGGACTGGCCTCCTGTTCCCCACCTGTCAGTGCCGGGAGCATGACTGGCTTTGTCTCTGAGCCAGCAAAGTGCTATGGACTCTCATTGGCTGTAGTGGGAGGGGGATGTCAGAGGGAATGCCAGCACCTGGTCACACACTCTCTCACTTGCCTGGGACCTTCTGGGACATACAATAGCTGAGTGGCCTGCAGCAGAGGCAAGAGCGGCTGCCCTCTGTGAAAGCACTGGACGGGGAAAGGACGTTTTCATGATGAATGAGGGAAGTTTGTTGAGCAGGGGGCCTGTGGCCCAGAGCTAATTGTGCTGCCACTTTATCTCATCCTCACACCTGCTCACGTGATGCCCCCGCTGCCAGTACATCTCCTCTCCCCACAGATCCTGGAGAGGCCATCAATCCTCTTTCTATGCCTGAGCTCTTCCCTGTGCTGCCCTAGCATGGAGTGTGCACGCATGCATGTGTGTGTGTATGTCTGTGGTTTTCCGCCTGGACAAGCTCAGCTGGCCACTGTGGCTAGCCTGGATCTCCCTGTGCTGGGTGGTCACAGCAATTCAGGCTATTTATAAAAAGAGACCCTTCTGTCTGAGAGATTCCATGGGAGCAGCTGTCTGCGCACCGTATTTAGTGGGAAACCACAAGCTCAGCGGGGGATATGTGCCTCACACCAGCCATTACTGCTGGGAGGAGCCTATGCTGGTATTTTTATTTTCAGAGTGAATTCAATTCTGGCAAAAGTGGCTGGGCTGACAGCCCAGGGGACTAAAGGCCTCTAAAACCACAGGACAGGCACCATCCAGGCAGGGCCAGTACAAATTTATCCCACGAACTGTCCTCCCAAATGTGCCTCAACACCAAATTCAGGCCACTTGACCCCCATCCTGTGTTTTAATGACTAGACCATGTTGCTTCAGTAATCAGACAGACCACTGATCTTGTCTGGTGTGGCTGGAAGTATGATACTGGACCATTTTGCTTCCCAGAGCTATCCAGTCCCCCTCACAAGGGGTTAGTTCTTTAAAATAATCTGAAGTCAGAAACCCCAAATCCAGTGAATTATTGGGAAGTAAGAAAGGAAAAGAAAAAAAGAAACCTGATTATTTTCATCTGGAGAGAGGAATTTTGATAAGTCTGAATTGTGGACCCACTGTAATTAAAAAATACACAACTACTCATTTTTAAATGCAGTTGTTTTACTTTATCGGTTTTGCCGCCAGGACCAAAAGGAATAAAATAAATTAAAAAAAGATGCCTTCCCAGTGAGGTGGCTGAAGCTCCCTTTGAATCCAGTTGAAACCAGTAGTTTTAGTGGAAGATGCTGCGGGGAGTGGGAGGGGGTTGCTGTTCTCAGCAGCTGCATCAGGGAACCAGCCACTCCTGGGATAGTGGTTTTACCCCCTTCTCCATCAGCATAAAGAATTTCTGTTTAACATGTTGCACGAAGGCCTGTTTAGAAGGGCTTTATTCATATTTAATTGGCAGCTTGCTGCAGTTCCCATCTTTAATTACCTTTTAAAAAGCAGGTTATAAAAATGTACGGGCACTCAGTTTTCACCTCCCACCCCCCAAATTATGTGCTCCTCCAATGTTCATATTAGTGCGAGCCAAGGACAGTGGAAAAAGAGGTTCGGCGAGTATCCCCCACCCAGCTCTGCTGATGCATCTCTGTCCTAAACTGAGACACCATCCCAGTACTGTTCCAAACCTGGTCTCCCTATACACACAGACTTGATCAAATTCACACCTGACCCACAGCTCATCTGGCTATTCCAATGCTGGGCCTCTCACGCATAGTGCTGCTGAGACACGTCTCATCTGCCCCACCACATGCCCTGCTATCCTGTCTTGGGCCTTTCCTGAGACTGTCAGTCATCTGAATTTGGTGACTGAGAAAATGACCCTTGAAAAACTACCTGTGAGCTAAAAATATTTGAAATCCAGATCTATGGAAGTGCAAACAGTAGTTCAGTAACCCAACAGCCAAGCTAGCCGCCAGCCACAAATTAATAATGCATGGTGACATAGCTGGCTTTAACAAAGCACATGATAGTCTTCTGATATCCCTTCTATAATGTAAGCAGCACAGCACATGTGCTGCCAAGATATTCAGGATCTTATGATGTGCCATGTAGTGTAATGTTAAATAAAAATATAGAATTCTGTGTAAAAGGACAGACCGTTTGGCCCCTCACCCAGCATAACCAACTCCTGCCTGGTGCCCACTGTAATCACCCCACTCTGCACACAAACAGCTTGGGGTGACTGAAAGTCATTGCCACCTGCTGCCTGTTCAATGTCTTGTGTGAAGGAACGGCTGGGTCACTGTCCAGTGCCTAGTGACACAGGTGTCCAGCTCACAATTGGCAGCATCACAATCGCAGCCCCCACTTTCTTGTTGGCAGTCTCCACAACGGTGCCAAGTACTGACTGGGGTCTAGAGGGACCCCACCAGGTCAGGGATGAGGCACAGGGGTGGAATGGAAGGGATAAATGTGCAGAGCCACTACCCATGCTGTACCTGGTCTGTGGATCTAGAGTTTCAGTCTCTAGGAGGATTCCATATGGGACTGGCTCTGTGAATCCTTGCAAGTGTGCTCACTTCTCTTCCTCTTCTCCTGGCAGATCAAAGAGCTCTTTGTGAGTTTTGAGGACACTCCCCTGGGAGCAGCATCCCTGGCCCAGGTCCACAAGGCAGTGCTGCAGGATGGGAGGACAGTGGCAGTGAAAGTCCAGCACCCGAAGGTTCAGGCTCAGTGCTCCAAGGACATTTTGTTGATGGAGGTAAGCCAGAACACCTTCCGTGCAAACATGCTGGGCCAGATTCACCCAGGTGGCAGACCAGCACTGATCTCTATGGGGGTATGAGCATAGTGGCCTGGGCCCTGTATCCCAAAATACTCTACAAAGATAAATGATGTGGTTAGAGGCTTACAAAAATAAAACGCAAAATCAATGAGGACTGCACTGTCAGGGATGAGATTGTGTAGATGGAGAGATTGGAGTCTAGTGCTGGATGGGCAGACAGGGGAGAAGGGGAGCTGGGGGGGAGGGGAAAAGGAAGAGAGCGAGGAGGTCTGTGAGAAAGACCTGAGTAAGTCCATGGAGGTTTCAGAAACAAGAGGCCAAGTCCTGAAATCCTTACACTAGCCCAACTCCAGTTAACTTAGGGATCTGGCCCAAAGAGGGCATTTTCACCCTGGATTCTGAAATGCATGAGGAGTAACTAGAGTTGTCTGATCATGGGGTTGAAGAGGTTGTGTTCTCCTGTGCATGTGAGAAGGTGGGCAGTGGCATCCTGCACATGTAGGAGTCCAGAGAGCAGGACCTGGGCAGGCTGAGGAGCAGAGAGTTGCAATAGCCAAGGTGAGAAGAGGAGGAGGTAAGTGCCCCTGGCATGGTCAGACCTGCTCAGCCTGCAGGTTTCCTTGCAGTCAGGGCTGTAAAATTTACAATGAAAAAATCATTCCCTGTGACTGATTGCACCGTATTTCTGATTGCATCAGTCACTCGATGAGATCTCTTCTGCACTTTGCATGCAAGTTGCATAGAGGCTACCAGGATGATCATGGCATGCTTCGCTTAAGCCCAGGACCACATGGAAGAGGCTGAGTAGAGTCAGGGCAAGAGGAAGAACAAGAAAGATGACAAAGTGTGAGATTGGGACAAGAGGAAATTGTGCGTGAAGGATCCACGGTCTAGACCCATAAGTAGGTCTACACAGCCCATGGGAGCGAGTCTCCCAGCTTGGGTTGACAGACTTGGGTTAGAGGGGCTCACACTAGGGCTCTAAAAATAGCTGTGTAGACAGTGCTTTGAAGTTGCGGCTCCGGCTCTGAAGCCTGGGCCAGCGGGCTGTGTAGATATACCCAGCGGCACATTCTCTCCATTAACATAGGCTGTTACCAGCACATTCCCCAGTGTGTAGCTGTGAAGCGTTGGATTGGATTTCTTTTTGCTTGTTGTACTATTAGGAGACATTTAAATAAATACATTTACAATGATTCTTTCTTCTCTCTTTTTAGAATAATCCCCTTGGGAAGCTTGAAACTAAAAAATCTATTTCCTTCCTGAAATTTATTATTCTCCTTCCTGTTCACATACTCTGGTTTGTCCTAGTAGGGATGCCAGCAAGCATCTGTTATGTATGCACTTACGTTATTGTAGGGTCACTTGTGAGTGCTAGGCTGCATGCACTTGTTACTGTACAGTTGCTCATGAATGCTCCCTGCATATATTGTCTTGTTTTTGAAAGGTCTTCGGTAAGTGCTGGGCTGCACACATTGGCTTGTTATTATTGTAGGGTCCTTTGTGTGTGCAGGGCCTTTGCACTGGTTTTTTTCAGACTCTATTTAGAGCCATGCTGATTTACATCCTCTGAGGATCTGGCCATTTAAGAATTACACAGACTTTGCAACTAGATAGGAGGTTGCATTTAGGACCGTTTAAATACTGATTGATACAGTCTTCTACGGAGAGTGATGAGAGAGAATCAGAAAAGCTAGATAGAAAATTTACGATTTAACTGCCTTTATTTGCAGGTTTCATAGCATCATTGCTGACTCTTTAAAAATCAGGACAGCACCTGATAAATCCAGAGGGAGATACCAATCAACTCTCTCTACGTCAGTAGTTCTCAAACTGGGGCCGCCGCTTGTGTAGGGAAAGCCCCTGGTGGGCCAGGCCGGTTTGTTTACCTGCTGGGTCCGCAGGTTCGGCCGATCGCGGCTCCTACTGTCTGCTCCGGGCCAATGGGGGCTGCGGGAAGCGCCAGCCAGCAAATCCCTTGTCCCGCGCCGCTTCCCGCAGCCCCCATTGGCCTGGAGCAGTGAACCACGGCCAGTGGGAGCCGCGATCGGCCGAACCTGTGGACCTGGCAGGTAAACAAACCGGCTCAGCCCGCCAGGGGCTTTCCCTACACAAGTGGCAGCCCCAGTTTGAGAATCACTGCCCTACATCCACCCTGTGATGGGTTGGGTCACAGAAATCCCCTTGGGACTGCCACTTGATGTGCTGAGACTACCTCTGAGCCCATTTTTCCTGGCAGCTTGGGACTTCAGTACCCTGTCTTGCTGAGCCAGACACGCGAGCCTGCTGCAAACACAGACCCAGGTCTGAACCACATCCCCCAGAAGCTGCAGACATAACTGAAAACGGCTTAGAAAGTGCTCCTGTCTCTAGCACGCAGACACCCAGCTCCCAACGGGATCCAAGCCCCAAATGAATCTGTTTTACTCATTATATAGCTTATACGGAGTAAACTCATAAATTGTTTGCCCTCTATAACACTGATTGATAGAGAGATATGCACAGTTGTTTGCTCCCCCGGGTGGTAATTACTTGTTCTGGGTTATTTAATAAAAGTGATTTTATTAAGTATAAAAAGTAGGATTTAAGTGGTTCCAAGTAATAACAGACAGAACAAAGTAAATTACCAAGCAAAATAAAACAAAAACACGCAAGTCTAAGCCTAATACAGTAGGAAACTGAATACAGGTAAATCTCACCCTCAGAGATGTTCCAATAAGCATCTTTCACAGCCTAGACTCCTTTCTAGTCTGGGCCCAATCCTTTTCCCTGGTAAAGTCTTTGTTCCAGCTCAGATGTGGCTAGGGGATTTCTCATGACTCCCCTCTTTGTTCTGTTCCACCCCCTTATATACCTTTGGCACAAGGCAGGAATCTTTTGTCTCGTTGGGTCCCCACCCCTCCTAAATGGAAAAGCACCAGGTTTAAGATGGATTCCAGCACCAGGTGACATGGTGTCCTGTGAGACCCCAAGCCTTCATTCTTCCCAGCCTGACTCACAGGAAGGCTTGCAAGTAAACAGCCATCTACAGTCAATTGTCCTAGTTGATGGGAGCCATCAAGATTCTAAACAACCATTAATGGCCCACACTTTACATAACTACAGTAGGACCTCAGAGTTATATTTTATATTCCTAGTTTCAGATACAAGAATGATGCATTCATACAAATAGGATGACCACATGCAGCAGATTATAAGCTTTGTAATGATACCTTACAAGAGATCTTTTGCATGAAGCCTATTCCAGTTACATTATATTCACACTCATTAGTATATTTTCATAAAATGATATGGAGTGCAACGTCACACACCCTTATTCCAGGACTGTATTCTAGACAGCTCTTGAAAAGGGCCAGACAAATTGCTATTAAGTATGTCCCTGTTAATTTTAAAGTCCTTAAATAGATTTGAATCATTATTTTAAAATGCAGAAAACAGCGTATAAATGTTCTGATCACAAGCATCAGTGCAGTAATCCTGCAGCCCTGGAAAGTTTTTGTGCACACGTACATGGAGATCACTGGTTACATTTCATTTGGGTGACATAAATTTGAGAGGATTTATGCCCCCAGACATAATGGGAGAAAATCATTCAATAAGATCTGAAACCCAGTGATTACATTTTTAAAAGGACACCGTGGACTGAGTTTAGGACTGACATTTAGATAAGAGAAGTTGGAGGGGGATGTGAATAAATGGTTTCACACAGCTGAACAGGAGCAGAAATGGTTTATGAATTTATTTTTGTTTTACATTTCAATGGTAGTTGCCTTTCTATGTGCATTGCAAACATTCCCACTGCAGTGCAGGAAACCCTAACTCACAATGTTGAGCCAGGAAGTGAAACAGTCTAGATTCACTCACAGACGGGTCTATTTTCATTTTCCTGGCTTAGTGAAGAACAAAACAGATGGTATAAACCATGCAAAATGAATTACTTTTTAAAAAGTCTTTCCGTTTTAGGACTCTCAGGTGGCTTGAATAACAAACTGAATGATTTTTTTTTTTTAAAGATATGGGTCCAGAGCCTCAGCTGCTGTCAGCTGGCCACTGAAATCAGTAGAGCTGCAGCAATTTACACAGCTTTACTTGAGTTTTATGCTGACTGTGTCCCTTAACTGAACACAGGAATTTTTTGCGAGAACATTTTATAACTAGGATTATGCCACCAAATGCAGTCTCGTGTATTTGAAGAACCATCTTGCTGGGCCATCCTCTATTTCCTGTAGGAAGGACTGTCCATCATTTGCCCCCCTAGATTTCCTCTTTCTGGTCTTGCACTTTATTAAGTATTTCTGTAAACAGAAATGTCCATTAAATATTTAAGTTAAGATTTGCAAAGTCACCTAAGAAGTCCGACTGCCCAGGAACTATTCATTTTAATGGGAACTGGGTATCCAGATCCCTTAGGCAGCATTGCCAATTTCAGTCTGAAAGGTTAATAAGTCAAAACCCCAGGACAGCTGAGGGTGGGCCCTGACCCTCGTAGAGAGTGTTTTTGCAAGGGCTGCAGCCTTCTATCTGTAAAGAAAATTGGCCTTCATTTCTGAACTGCCCAGTGGCATTTTCCTGTGTCAGCGAAGTTCTTGCTTAGCAGCGTAAGGAGTAACGTAAAGGTGACAGGCCTTATTTTAGATGTTCCTATTTCACATTAGCTGAAGGCCATTAAATGAAACTGAACAGTGACTCATCTAATCACAGGAATCAGACATTCAAAAAAGACCTTGCGGGTCACTTAGTCTGACCCCTTCAGGGGCCAGCATGATCACACCATACAGCCTATCCTCCAGGGCTTTGCCTTGTCTAGTTTTAAATGCACCATACAGTGGAGCTCCTATTGCTTCCCTTGGGTGGCTTTTCTACTATTTAACAGCTCAGCAGGCATGTTGGTCACAGCTAGTGCGGGTGCAGCAGACCAGACCTTGTCTTCCAGGAGAAGGCAATTGCATTGCCCTGTTGCACCATGACAGTGCATTAGCCCCAAAGGTATTTGGAGAGGTTTGGTTTTTTTGGTCCTCAGGCAATGTGGGACAAAGCAAGTTTGCCCTGTGACAACAGTAGGGTTACCATATTTTGAGTGTCCAAAAAGAGGACACTCCACGGGGCCCTGCCCCCAGCCCCGCCCACGCTCCCGCCCCAACTCCACCCCTTCCCCAAAGTTCCCGCCCCAACGCCGCCCCCTCCCCTTTTACCCGCCCCCATTTAATTCGCGGGAAGCCTGAAGCAGGCAGCAGGTAAGTTGT